TTTTCACAGTGTTCTGTTAGGGGGCTTAAAGGCACCGTTAGAAATTCTCCCATCCCCTTTTTCCGGCTCATCAGAATCTGAGATCTTTATCTGTAGGAAAAATGTGTCACTTTAAAATTTCAAGCGGCTAGAGGCCTGGGAACAGAGTGCTGAGCTGCTCCCTCCTCTCTCTACCTTTTCTAAATATTTTAAAATAATGAGATTGAGCATGGATATACATTTTTGAAAAACATAGAAAGATTTAAAGGCTAATGCAAAATATCTAAAAGTTTGTGACGGTTATAAATGTGATGAAAAGGAGAAGCAGGGAGAGAAGGAAACAGCAGAAGTAGAGGTCTAGAGAGGGAGAGAGGGAAAGAACGAGACAGAGACTTAAGAAAGAGACTCTTGGAGTCTGAGAGAAAAGGATTTAGACAGAAACAGAAACAAAGATTGGGAGAGAAAGTGATATGGGTGTATAAGTGTGAGTGTGTATGTGAGAAAGGGAGGGAGAGAGACATGAGCAAGAGACAGGAAGGGACAGAGATTAGAGAGGGAGAGAGACAGAAGGAAAGGCCGGAAGAGACAGAGACGGTCTGAAAGAAAGGGAGACTTAAGACTCCAAGAGTTTTTTAACTTAGAGGAAGAAGACTGACAGGACCGGGGCTCCTTTCCATTAAGCCCCAAGGGTAACCTTACAAGTAGAGGGCAAACCTATTAGTTTCCTGGTGGATACTGAGGCAGTCTATTCAGTCTTGACAGAGCCGATGGGACCTCTAAGAAGATGTCAGTCCAGGGAGCCACCAGACAAACTGCCTATTTTCCTTGGACATTATGAAGGACTATGGACCTAGGAAAGAACACATACTGGGGGAACGCAGCCACTGAACTGGACCAAAGTGGAACAATAGGCCTTAGAGGAGCTAAAGAAGGCTCTCGTCTCAGCACCTGCTCTAGCCTTGCCAGATGCCACAAAGCTCTACATGAGTGAGGTAAGGGGCATTGCCAAAGGGATTCTCACTCAGACTCTAGGTCCCTGGAAGAGACCTGTTGCCTATCTGACTAAGAGGCTAGACCCTGTGGCAGCAGGGTGGCCAGTGTGCCTCTGGGCAGTGGCCACCACTGTATTGCTGGTGAAGAAGGCAGATAAGCAGACTCTGGGCCAGGAGCTAGCCCTGATAACACCCCATGCCGTTGAGGCCCTCCTTTGAGGTGCTCCAGTGAGATGGATATCAAATACCAGAATCACACAGTGCCAAGCTCTTCTCCTGTATCAGCCCTGCGTCAGGTTCCATAAGACACTGGCCATCAACCCTGCCAGTCTGCTTCCAGATGATCCAGAGGAACCCATTCATAACTGCATAGAGGTAACAGACACAGTACTGACAGATGTCCTGCCATCACCACCAGATGAGGTACTGTACACTGATGGGAGCAGTTACATTCAGGATGGAATCTGATATACAGGGGCAGCAGTAGTCACCCTGGACCACACCATTTGGGCACAGTTCCTGAACTTTTGGCCTTAATCCAGGCCCTTTGATGGGGACACAGTGCCGTCCCCTGGGAAAGGTTACCACCTTCAGCCAGAAAGGACATTATTTTAGCCTTATTTGAGGCCATCTGACTCCCAAAGGCAGTTGCAATAGTGCACTGCAAAAAACATCAGAAAGGGGAGACAATTAAAGCCAGAGGAAATAGAGCCCCAGACCAAACTGCTAAAGAAGATGCCCAAAAACCAGTGGGGACTTTACAAGTCTCAGTAACCCTGCCGGACGCCCACCTCTACCCAACTAGAGGAGGAATTGGCTGAACAAAAGCAAGCCATCAAAGGACCAGATGGTTGGTGGACCCTACCAGAAGACAGACTGTTGGTCCCAGAGGCTCTAGATCGGACGTTAGTTGCCCAGTTACACCAGATTACCCACTTAGGTGTCACCAAGACTTCTGAACTTCTGTGAGGCAGATACTACGAAGCTTAAGTAAGGTAAAAGCATAGTCACTAAAAGTACTATCTGTATACAGATAAATGCTGAGGTAGGAGGGTCTCCCTGGGAATTCAGGCCCCAGAAAAATTCCCCAGGAGAGCATTGGGAGGTAGATTTCACAGAGATTAAGCCACCAGCATTGAGGTAAAAGCACATGCTAGTTTTTATAGACACCTTCTCTGGTTAGGTTGAAGCATAGAACAGAAACTGCCTCTATAGTAGTCAAGAAAATTACTCCAGGAGATTATACTTAAATTCAAATTCAGGCTGCCAGTAGTCATAAGATCAGATAACAGCCCAGCTTTTGTAGCAAGGTATCTCAAAGTATAGCTCAAGCCTTAGGACAGGCATGAGCGGAACTCTAAAAAGTTTAATTAAATTTGTCCTAGAAAACGGTGAAAACTGGACCAACCTCCTGCCCTTCGCCCTCTTATGGGCCAGGTGTACCCCCTACTGGGATAGGTTCCCCCCTTTTGAGATCATGTATAGTAGATCTTTCTCCATCCTTCCCAGGGTCAGGGAGAAACTGAAAGCTGTAATTCATAACCATTCCCTTGCTCAAGTCCTTACAGGCTCTGCAGTTTACCCAGAGACACACCCATAAGCTTGTTCCAGATGCACTGCCAGTGCCCACCGTGGACCCTGTATACCCCTTCCAGCCCGGAGTTTCTGTGTGGGTAGAGAAGTTCACTGCCCAAGGACTCACCCCAACCTGAAAGGGACACCACACTGTTACCCTGAGCACACCCACGGCTATTGAAGTAGACGACACCCAGACCTGGCTACACCACTCCCAGCTCCTGCACAGAAAACGGCCTGAATCCTGGCAACCAGCGGACTCACCAGTGAGATCCCTAGCCTGGGCTCCACACAGGCCAGGAGGAGACTTGATGCCTACAGGAGGGGAATTGGACTGCAGTGAGGCAGTACTGATGGGAACTGTGGTACTAGGGGTTTTGGTAACTGTAAAAAAAAATTTTTTTTTTTGCTAGCCAGTGAGAAAGTCAGAGGTTAAGTAAAGCTAAATGTAGGAGCAGAAATTAGATCAACAAATAGACCAGGAGTTAAATAACCTAGATCAATCTATAGAAAAATGAGAAGAATCGGTCAGGTCCCTAGCAGAAATAGTTTTTGCAGAACAGAAGAGGCTTAAATCTGTTGTTCCTAAAGCGAGGGAGACTTTGCCTAGCTCTAGGAGAAACTTCTGTTTCTACACCAATCATTCCTGGGTCATAAGGGAAAGCCTAAGTCAGTTGAGAAAGAGGCTAGCTGACAGAGAGGAAGCTCAGAAGACTGCAGGAAACTGGTATGAGAACTTGTACTCGTGGTCCCCTTGGCTCACCACCCTACTGACTGCCATAGCAGGCCCACTATTACCGATACAATTACTTATACGCTTAATCTTTGGGCCATGTCTCATAAAATGCTTGGTTAATTTTGTACAGGATAGAATACAGGATAGAATAATGGTCTTACATACTCAGTATTCTCCACTAGTAGATACTAGTAATGAATCTAAGGTATAGATTCATTGCCAAAAGACCAGTAGGGAATGAAATATGGTAGCAATCATACTTGGGTAAAAACTACTGTTTGAATTTTAACCCTTCATTCGACCTTCACTTGCTTTGTTCATCGCGCAATGGGCTTAGGGAGGATGAGTTCAAATTCTGGGCAAGGTTACAGGCAAAACTTTCTATTTCAGCAAAGAGCCAGCCGTATGTACACTTAGTGGTAATCTCAATGCTGGCCTCGAAAACAATGCTGTTCTATCCAATTTAAAAAAAACATGCACCTGGCATGGTATTGAGACTGTGGGTATATCTAGTCTCTGGCCTGCAAGGTCAGACAGCTAAGTTTATCTACATCATGCTTCTAACAGGCTAAAGCAAACTAGACAGCAACATTTTATCTAGGAAAAACAGCAGAAAATTCCAAACAAGTTTGTTGTAGAACACATGTGTCAAACACAAGGCCCGCGGGCCAAATCCGTCCCGCCAGGCCTTGCAATGTGGCCCGCACCGAGCTGTCATCACTGCACTCCGCTGCGTTTCCATCACAATGACAGTTTATGACTGTTCAGTAAACCATTCGGCCCGCAATTTAGGCTGGATTTTAGATTTTGGCCCCTTCTCTGATTGAGTTCGACACCCCTATTGTAGAATGAGGGTTTTCCTTCTCAGAACCTTGAAAAATAACTACCTGCCCCTAAAGCCTCGCAGTCGTGTAGGGTCCACCTGCATGTGGTACTCTTGTGGCTGCCCTGGCCAGTTTAATAAATTCCTTGCTTGCTTTTTTAAATAAAGTATCAGCCTCCGGTGGTCTTATTTTTTTTTTAACGTTTATTTATTTTTACATATTTTATTGATTTTTCCCCCCTCCCTCCCTCCCACACATCCCCTCCCTCACGAGAGTTTTATGTCCATTGGTTGTACTTATATCCATGGATACAAGTCCTTCAGTTGATCTATTATCTCCCCCAGATCCTCCTCCCCTCCCCACTGAAATTTGACAATCTGCTTGTTGCTTTACTGTCTCTGTATCTATCTTTTGGTTCATCAGTTTATAATGATCTTTATTATCCACAAATGAGTGAGGTCATGTGGTGTTTCTCTTTCATTGATTGGCTTCTTTCACTCAGCATGATGCTCTCCAATTCCATCCAGGTTGCTGCAAATGATGAGAATTCCTTCTTTTTTATGGCAGCATAGTATTCCATTGTGTAGATGTACCATAGTTTTTGGATCTAATCATCTGCTGACGGGCACCTAGGCTATTTCCAAATCCTGGCTATTGTAGATTGTGCTGCTATGAACATAGGGGTGCATATATCCTTTCTGATTGGTGTTTCTAGTTTCTTGGGATATATTCCTAGGAGTGTGACTACTGGATCAAATGGGAGTTCCATTTTCAGTTTTTTGAGGAAATTCCACACTGTTCTCCACAGTGGTTGCACCAGTCTGCATTCCCACCAGCAGTGCACGAGGGTTCCTTTTTCTCCGCAACCTCGCCAACACTTGTCGTTTGTTGATTTGTTGATGTTGGCCATTCTGACAGGTGTGAGATGGTACCGCATTGTTGTTTTGATTTGCATCTCTCGGATAATTAGTGACTTTGAGCATGTTTTCATGTGCCTTTTGGCCTTCCTTCTGTCTTCTTTAGAAAATATTCTATTTAGGTCCATTGCCCATTTCTTAATTGGATCATTCACCTTCCTTTTATTTAGTTGTATCAGCTGTCTGTAGATGTTGGAGATTAGAGCTTTATCAGTGGTGTTATTTGCAAATACGTTCTCCCACACCGTGGGCTTTCTTCTTGTTTTATTGATGGTTTCTTTTGCTGTAAAAAAGCATTTTATTTTGATGTAGTCCCATTTGTTTATTTTCTCTTTAGCTTCCATTGCCCAAGGGCCAGTATCAGTGAAGAAGTTCTTTTGGCATACGTCTGAGATTTTGCAGCCTGTGGATGCTTCTAGTATTTTTATGGTTTCCCGTCTGATGTTTTAAGTCCTGCATCCATTTTGAGTTTATTTTTGTGTATGGTGTAAGTTGGTGATCTAGTTTCATTCTTTTGCATGTGTCTGCCCAATTTTCCCAACACCATTTATTGAAGAAACTGTCTTCAATAAACTGACTCCATTGTATATTCGTGCCTCCTTTGTCAAATATTAATTGAGCATAGTGATTTGGGTTAAATCCGGGTTCTCAATTCTATTCCATTGATCTATATGTCTGTTCTTGTGCCAGTACCAGGCTGTTTTGAGAACAGTCGCTTTGTAATACAGTTTGAAGTCTGGTATTGAGATCCGTCCTACTTTATCCTTCTTTCTCAGGATTGCTATGGCTATTCGGGGTCTTTTATTGTTCCAAATGAACTTTTGGAGAGTTCTTTCTAGGTCAGTGAAATATGCTGTTGGTATTTTAATGGGGAGTGCATTGAACCTATAGATTGCTTTAGGAAGTATGGACATTTTGATGATGTTGATTCTACCAATCCATGAACATGTTACGTTCTTCCATCTCCTTACATCTTCCTCTATCTCTTTTTTCAGTGTCCTGTAGTTTTCTGCATATAGGTCCTTTACTTCCTTAAATTTATTCCTAGGTATCTTAATTTTTTTGGTGCGATGGTAAATGGAATTGCTTTTTTAGTCTGTTTCTGTAGTTTCACTGTTGGTGTATAGAAATGCCATGGATTTCTTGGCGTTAATTTTGTATCCTGCTACATTGCCAAATTCATTTATTAAGTCAATTAGTTTTTTAATGGAGTCTTTTGGGTTTTTTATGTACAATATCATGTCCTCTGCAAATAAGGATAACTTTACTTCTTCTTTTCCAATTTGGATGCCTTTTATTTCCTCTTCTTGTCTAATTGCAATGGCTAGTACTTCCAGTACTATGTCAAACAGGAGTGGCAAGAGTGGGCATCCCTGTCTTGTTCCTGTTCTTAGAGGGAATGGTTTTAGTTTTTTCCCATTGAGTATAATGTCGGCTGTGGGTTTATCATATATGGCTTTTATAATGTTGAGGTATGATCCTTGTACTCCCACCTTGTTAAGAGTTTTTATCAGGAAAGGGTGTTGGATTTTATCAAATGCTTTTTCTGCATCAATTGATATGACTATATGATTTTTATCTTTCAATTTTTATGTGATATATCACATTTATTGATTTGCGGATATGGTACCATCCTTACATTCCTGGAATAAATCCTACTTGGTCATGGTGTATGATCTATCTGATGTTCTTCTGGAGTTGATTTGCGAGAATTTTGTTGAGGATTTTGGCATCTATGTTCATGAGGGATATTGGCCTGTAATTCTCTTTCATTGAGTTGTCTTTATCTGGTTTTGGTATTAGGGTGATGCTGGCTTCATAGAAGGAGTTTGGAAGTGTTCCTTCCTCTTGGATTTTTTGGAATAGTCTGAGGATAGGTTTTAGTTCTTCCTTGAATGTTTGGTAAAACTCTCCTGTGAAGCCATCTGGCCCTGGGCTTTTGTTTGCTGGAAGCTTTTTGATGACTGTTTCAATTTCTTCCCAAGACACTGGTCTACTGAGATTTTTAGATTCTCCCTGATTGAGTTTTGGAAGTTTGTATTTTTCTAGGAATATGTCCATTTCCTCCAGGTTGTTTAGTTTGTTGGCATACAGTTGTTCGTAGTATTTTGTAACAATCTGTTGTATTTCCGTGGGGTCTGTTATTTCACCTCTTTCATTTCTGATTTTGTTTATTTGGGTCCTCTTTGTTTCTTGGTTAGCCTGGCTAGAGGTCCATCTATCTTGTTTATTCTTTCAAAGAACCAGCTCTTGGTTTTGTTGATCTTATGTATTGTTTTTTTGGTCTCTATGTCGTTTATCTGTGCTCTGATTTTTGTTATTTCCTTCCTTCTGCTTACACTTGTAGAGTTAGATCATCTGTTACCCTTTTTTCTAGTTTTTTGCAATAAGCTTGTAAGGATATGAACTTCCCTCTCAAAACTGCTTTTGCTGTGTCCCGTAGATTTTGGATTGTTGTGTTTTCATTGTCATTTGTTTCCAGGATGTTTTTAATTTCTTCCTTGATTTCTCTGGTAACCCAGTCCTTGTTTAATAGCATGCTGTTTAGTCTCCATGTGTTTGATTTCTTTGGATTATTTTTATTGTAGTTAATTTCCAGTTTTATGCCATTATGGTCTGAGAAGATACTTGATATGATTTCTATCTTCTTGAATTTGAAGAGACTTTGCCTATGTCCCAAAATGTGGTCTATCTTTGAGAATGTCCCATGTGCACTTGAGAAGAATGTATATTCTGTGGCTTTGGGGTGCAGTATTCTGAAGATGTAAATTAATTCCATCTGGTCTAGTGAGTCATTTAGGATTGATATTTCTTTGCTGATTTTTTGTTTAGATGATTTGTCGAAGGGTGACAGTGGGGTATTAAAATCTCCTACTATGATTGTATAGCTATTAATCTCTCTTTTAATGTCCTCCAGCAGTTTTATAATGTATTTGGTTGCTCCTGAATTGGGTGCAAATATATTTACCAGGGTTATTTCTTCTTGTTGGATTGTTCCCTTTAGTATTATGAAGTGGAGTGGCCTTCATTATCTCTTATGTCCTTCACTCTGAGATCTAATTTGTCAGATGTAAGTATTGCTACCCCAGCTTTTTTTTCATTTTCATTTGCCTGGAAAACTTTTTTCCATCCCTTCACCCTCAGTCTGTGTGCATCTCTTTTTCTGAGGTGGGTTTCTTGTACACAACAGATGTATGGGTCTTGTTTTCTTATCCAATCTGTTACCCTATGTCTTTTGATTGGAGCATTTAATCCATTTACATTTAAGGTTATTATTGATAGGTACTCATTTGACGCCATTTTTATTCTATACCCATGTTCCTTCTTCACTTCTTATTTCTTTATTTTTACAGTAGACCCTTTAGCATTTCTTGCATTGCTGGTTTGGTGGAGATAAATTCCTTCAGTCTTTTTTTCTCTGTGAAGCTCCTGATTTCCCCTTCAGTTTTGATTGATAGCCTTGCTGGGTACAGTATTCTTGGATTCAGACCCTTCCTTTGCATGACTTTGTATATTTCATCCCATTCCCTTTTGGCCTGATAAGTTTCTGTTGAGAAATCAGTTGCTAGTCTGATGGGGGTTCCTTTGTATGTAACTTTCTGTCTCTCTCTGGCTGCTTTTAAGATTCTTACTTTGTCGATGTTGTTTGCCAATTTAATTATAATGTGCCTTGGCTTCTGTCTTCTGGGATTCATTTTGCTTGGGACTCTGCGAGCATCTTGGATTTGTGCGGTTTTTTTTCTCTATTTCAGAAAAGTTTTCTGTCATTATTTCTTGAAATACTTTTTCCATGTCTACCTCAGTTTCCTTTCCTTCTGGAACTCCTATTATTCGAATATTATTTTGTTTTGTATTGTCCCAAAGCTCCCGTAGGCTCTCCTCCTGCTTTTTAATCTTTTTTTCTAGAAGTTGCTCTACTTGGGTATTTTTTTCCATCTTATCTTCTAGCTCACTGATGCGGTCCTCTGCTTCATCTAGTCTACTCTTGATGCTTTCTATTGCATTCTTCATGGTAGCGATGTCATTTTTCATTTCTTCTTGGTTCTTCTTCAGTTCCTCATGGCTTTTCTTCAGTTCCTCATGGTTCTTCCTCATTTCTTCTTGGCTATTGTCAAATTTCTCTTCCACTCTTTTTAGCCATCCTATGATCATTACTCTGAATTCTTGCTCTGTTAGGCTGCTTGTCTCTGACTCGTTTACTTCCTTTTCTGGTGATGCCTGCTTTTCTTTCACGTGCGGACTATGTTTTTGTCTCCCCATGGCCTCTCTTTTCAGGATGTCTGGTTATGTGGTGTTCCTTCTCCTGCGTTGATTTAAAGGTACAAAATACAACACTACCAGGTACAACACAAGAGGCACTTAACAGGAATGCATTTACAGTATTAATAACCTCTAATAAAGGTGACCACTAGAGAAAGGCAACTTAGCGGATAGGAGAGAAGGAAGAAAAGTAAAAATAAAATAAAGAGAAATTAAAAAAAATAAAAATAAAAAAATTAAAATTAAAATTAAAAAATTAAGAAAATAATAAATAATTTAAAAAAAGAGGGATAAAGATAGAAAAAGAAAAAAAGTAATTACAAAATGAAGTTGGAAAACAGGGGAAAAAAAGGAGAGAGAGAGAGAGAGAGAGAGAGAGAGAGAGAGAGAGAGAGAGAGAAGAAGCAAACTAAAAGAGAAATGGGAAACAAACTATATATATGTGGAGAAAATTGCCATAGAACAACCTCTGAACCCAGCCAATGCCAGTAACAATACTTGGAGATTAATACAAACTACAATATCCACTATTATTAAGTAAGGCTATGATATACAGAAGTAAAAGAAACAAACAAAAACAGAGGATTTAAAAAAAAAATACAAAGCAACAATAACAATACAGGAATAAGCATAACAATTTCACTAAAAAGCATAAAAATTCACAATAATCAACCTTCACACAAACAATGCAAAAAGGATAGAGAGGAGTGCAGTTTTTGGGTTTTTTTTTTTTTTGGTTTTTTTTAACTAGTTAATATAGTGCAGAGATTGGTATTTATACACTTGGATCAGGTGTTGGAACTTAGGTCTATAAGTATAGTAAGAGCTTTAGCAGGGGATATACAGAAATAATAGAGGAAAAACTAAAGCCGGAAAGGGATAGGATAAACTATAGACTAAAGGGTGAAGTTTAGTAAGAGTGATGGTTTAAAGGTTGAGTTGAGATAGGGTTGAATGATGCTCTAGTAGAGATTAAAATAGAATGAAGGTTACTCCCAATGTAAAATAAAGAAAAAATAAAATGGTACTGGAGAGGAAGAAAAGAAAAAAAAAATTGCAAAATAGCAGTAGTAATAATGATAGAGATTGAAAAATGTAATTGAAAAGGTAAAATCAAGTAAGGAAAAAATAAAAAAAATTGTTTCTTAAGTAAAAGATATGAAAAATGAAAATTAAATAAAAGATGTAAAAAAATGAAAATAAAGAATAGTAAAATTAGCATAAAAATGTCCAGTAGTGGTCATTCACTTCCTCAGTTAATGTTTTTGGCACTCCTGATTCTCGGACCAGACAGTCTTGCAGTTCCCAGCATTCCACTGCACCTCAGTTTTGTAAGGTAATCCTTAATTTTAAGTAGGCTATATCTTAGTTATTTGTGTCCATTTATTTTTGATTAATTAAAAGGGAAAAAAAGGGGGGGCAGTTTGTAATTCAGCTCTTAGGTGTCAGTGTTTCCGGTTTGACCTCCCAGCCTTTTTGGTTGCTCTGGCCTTCTTTCTCTATGGCTCTAGCTGGCAGAGTGCCAGCTGGCTCCCAGACTATCTCTTCTGGCTCCGATCCCTTGTTTCTAGGAAGGCAATTTCCCCCTGCAATTTCCCCGGATATACCCAATTGGGCAGTCCTTCCCTAGTATTCTGAAGCTAGGGGGTGAAGGGGATCAGGCGCCAAGGTGTCCAGATGTTCTGCCCTTGGCAGGACAGCCGCGATTCTTAACACTCTGTCCCGTGTCCCCTGGCGTTTTTTAAAAAAGAATTCCCGCTTCTGGGGAAGCTTATGTCAAACCCAGCACTAGGTGTCGCTGCAGCCTTCTTTGGGCTCAGCTCAGCAGGCGCTCCCTGCTACAGTGGAGGCGGGGCCTCGCCGGAGCTCAGGCTATGGCTGCCTGCACCACGGGACCAGGAACCCTCAGGCTATCCCCGCAAACTCTGACCTTTCCGTGGGTGACCGAAGAACTCCCTTGAATCCAAGTGTTTGCGCCGATTCGGGCTTCTCAGCTGCTCGATGGACCTCTCCACTGGAGTTTTCCAGGCCTCAGAGAAGCTACTCCTTTCCTGGTAAGGTGGCAGAGCCCCCGAGCCGCAGCCCTCAGCTCGCCGCCACCTCCGCTGCCGCGGCAGTGCTGGCCACCCGGCCAGGAAATCCTGTCCAGCGGACAGCTCCCTACCTTCCTTGAGAACTCCGCTGCCCCTCAGCTGCCAATCAACATTCCCTGAGCAACTCAGATGCTACTTTTATCTGTTCTGGGACCAGAGTCAGAACAAGTCCGACTGTTCAGTCACCATCTTCAAGCTCCGCCCCCCGGTGGTCTTATTTTGAACCCAGGGTTTGACCCCACAACATTTGGAACCCCAAAAATCAGGATTTTTCTGGTCCATTAGAAATCTCCCTGGACTTCGAGAACATTTACCAACAAAGAACATCTCTGCTTTATCACCTACTTAATGAAGAACGTGGCTCAGGAAGTTTCTGATGTCCAACCAAGAAAACACCTAAAGATACCTCCTAAAGCTGAAGGCCCACAGAGCCTCTCTCTCTGCACAGATGTGAAGATGATGGTGCCCATGAAAGAGGGGAAGAAAACCAAATGCCATCACTATCAGTAACACCACACTCACAGGCACCTCAGAAACAATAATCTCCCCCTCTCCCCCAAGAAAGGCAAAGGCCTCTCATCAGCCAAGGAAGACAATGCCAGCATCCAGGAAAGGCAAGACTAATGTCTGGGTCCACAAGCTGAGTGAAAAAACCATGTTGTGTATGAAGATGTCAGTGACCTCAAGGAAGATGATTAACTAGGGATGTGACAAGTGCCCATGAGAAGAAGCAGAACCTGGTGGCCCTTCATGAACGTGGGCAAGGCTGCAAACTGCTGGCCATCCGGTGTACAGCAAGTGAAAAAGGAGCTCATTCAGTGGTAAGTTCAGAGTTTCTTTTTTTTATTTATTTTATTGATTTTTCACAGAGAGGAAGGGAGAGAGGTAGAGAGTTAGAAACATCAATGAGACAAAAACATTGATCCGCTGCCTCCTGCACGACCCCTTCAGGGATGTGCCCGCAACCAATTTACGTGGCCCTGACCGGAACCAAACCTGGAACCTTCAGTCTGCAGGACAATGC